TGGTTAATTCTTCATTACCATTGGAAGGTGACATTAGGACCATCATTCAATGCATAAATAAGAAGTGATTGAGGCCCTGCTCCATCCAAAATATCATTTGCAGATATTTAAATTTGTTGGACAGTAGATCTCCTTTTACCCGGTTCTTCAAACATATTTTAGGCATCCTTTAATTCACATATGTGGGGCACAACACATCCCAACCTGGAAACATTTGCTAGTGACAAGTATGGGAGATGTTCCCAATTTACGCTGCGATATACATATGGGACGCTAATGTGATATCAAGCTAGAAAATCTTTAATTTGGGCCTGTACTACCCCTCTCGATGTTTTCTGTTAGAAACAGAAATGTTATCTAGCTGCCTCGTTTCTTTTATTTAATTTGCACTGGAAAGGGGTTCATATTGATATCAACTTGTGTGGCATTTGGTATACTATATAAAGCTTCTTTTCGAATCAGTCACCAACTAAGAAACATTATACCATCTTAAAGAACTGTTCAACACTTAACCTAAAAGCTTCAACTAGGTGATCAGATCGATCGATGAACAAGTTTTTATTCTCTAACATTAATTAAACCCTAGAAATAGGCCCATCAGCTTGGCATTGGTCCATTATCTTAATAAAAAAATTAAGATAATAGATTATCTTAATTAAATGACACCAGAATAGATGGGGCCTTGTATCCTCTTCACACCATGAGTCCATGATTGAGTAACTAACTCCTCATCTTAGAAAAAAGAAAAAAAAAATCATAAATCAGAGTCCGTTCCGTTAAACAATAATAAATGTGTAAAGGGTAGACAGGTTCATTATTATTCTATGTTAGTGGAATTTACTCTTTTCAATTTCATAGTATTGAATATTGATGTTACAGGAGGCACTTCCATTCCATTTCCACCGCAATGAGACCGAGAAAGAAAAGGAGTAAAGAATATACTACTCCACTAGTGTTTTCATGTCTAGTACGCGTACCCAACATTCAGCTTTTTACTAGGATTTCCACTACAACCCCCCCATCACGGAACTAGTACTTATCACTCTTTCATCCTTTTATTCCCCCACGCCCCCACACCATCCACAACAATCTAGCTATTCACACCAAATACTTCAACTGTTCTCATTTCTAACATGCTCTAATGACAGAGACAGAGACAGAGACAGAGAGAGATGCAGCAGGATTAAGCAGCAACTTCAAGTGGTGACACACCACGAAACTGTAGCAACTTATCTTCTCATGGGGTCTCCATTAATTATTAAATTCCATGAGACCATGGCCTCTCTAGTAATGAAGGGCTGCCAATAGTTGTTTAATTGGCTTCTTAATTAATCTGAATTAAGAGTCACGTCATATATATGAAAAACTATAAAATGATTTCCTTTCCTTTTCACTGGGATCCAAACAGAAGATTTATAAAAGGAAGAAATGATATCAAAAGTTGTGCAACAACATTGGGATATAGTTGGTGATAGCTAGAGATACATGATATAAAGTTATTTCCCAAGCTGGTTCATGGTTGTCAATAAATTTAATGCAAACGGCAAACCCATTATCTTTAGTAGTTTTCATCATCACACTATTTGAACATGTCAACCACCTGTGTGCCTATTGATTCTCAAAAGCAAGCTTATATCTCTCCTATTCCGTTTCATTTTCTTTTCTTTTCTCAACTTTTTCAAAGATGTTGGAGCTCATCCCAGCAATCATATTCTTTTGGTATTGATCTTTTTCTGCTTTTCCCAAGTGGTAGTAACTCATTGGTGATCGAGGGAAGATGGCTCTAGCTAGCTAACCCACCCAATAATCCTATGGATTGATTAGTATTCAAAACTAGCTTGGTCATTATATATGAAATTGAAGTAGCTAGCTAGCTAGTAATTTTGTTTCTAGAAACAAGACGTTACGTCATTCAACTATTGAGATAAGCCCACTATGAATCCAACTACATCTCTCTCATTCTCAAAAGCACCTTTGTCTGGTTGTGTCATTAGCCAGCCGCGCCCCACAGCCAACACTATAAGCGCCATGTGATTTGGGGAGGAAGCCCTCGTACTCACTCGTAAGGCTTGGCCTTCCTTCTTCTTGTGTACTGTATGTTCACAGAAACTTTCAACCACCCAATATTTTAGTCTAAGTGACGACGCAACAAATCAAGTCAAGGGACCCAGCTCTAGCTGCATATATTACATCTCTAGTTCCTGAAATATACAAATTAAAAGAAACGATTTGGAACACAGAGCAGCAGTGCTGTTGTCTGTTCAGAACGAAATTAATAAGGTGGTAGGCCAATTGTGCTTGGCTGTGTCACTGTTTCTTCTAGGACATCAAGTGCAAAGATACTATAGGAGTACAGAGAGATGCTTTATGGAGTGGTGGGGTGGTGGGAATCATGTAATTGACTAAGTACTAGTTGTTTATTTTCTTGGAGCGAAACTAGGAGGAGCATTGAAGGTATTGGTTGGTGAGCAGAATGGAAAAAATGTTGGACTGAGATGAAATTTTTGCCGATATTTGCACTTGGGGCTCCATGAGAACAACCATAAACGAAAATCAGGACCTGGATCCTGGTTTTTTGTTTTCTGCTTGTTTTGATTGTTTGGTGATGTAAGAAAATATGCCCATTTGGCAATTTGTTGGGTTGATTTTGTTGTCTCGATTCAGAACACACATTCAAGTTGCAAGCTGTTCCAACCCGGCAGAGCGCATAATGGGTTGGCTCGTGGGCTGGGGCCTAATGCCTGAAACAGAGGATAGGGATAGGGATCGATGCTGTGGGCGTGACGATTATTAACCAACATGTGCAGGCTCAAGTCTAGTCGTCGTCGTCTCGTCGCCAATCCATGATACTAAGAAAAGTACCCAAGATTGATTCTTGGGCCAGGGTACCCATAAAGCGTGGATTGCGGTTTTTGGGCCTCATATGCCTTGGCTCTTTTCTTTCTTTCTTTTCTTTTTTTTTTTTTTCTTTTTTTGTTTCTGAAAGCAGATGAGATGCTCCAATTAAACGAAAGACACGCCAGTGATGGAAACACAATTCAAAACAGTATGGTATCTAGCTGTTCATTATTTCTTTTGATGATGATGATGTCCAATTACCCATTTGGGAATTGGGTTTGGGAGGGACCCAGAACTCGATGGGCCCTATAATCTGATCCTACGAGGATGATTCCTGTGATGCTGCGAACAAATTAAGGCGTGTAAAATGGGCTACGTACCAATTAAGAGTGAATATTGCTGGTCATCCATACACCACCTTCTTCATTTTTTATTGGTTTTGTAGTCCATTGTACATATCTTCACTTGTAGCAAAAATGTAGTTCCTGTGTGAATGAAAAAGGGAGATATTTTCAATGCACAGCCATAATGTCTGTGGGAACAACTTATCTGTATTGTCAGCAGGATTTGATTCTAAGTCGACCATCAGTTGGTGTAAAAGCCTGTGAAGTTATGTTTATCGGGTTCGAGGTGGGTTTTGGGGAAACCCAAATCTTTGAGGTCTGGATTGGATAGGGGTGGTATTCTTCCATCCCATTTGGAGTTTAACACCAAATATTCTCCAATGGATAATATGTCATAATATAATATGCTTTTCTTAAAAAAAAAAATAAGAATGGTTGGGGCAAATTTTAATTTGTGCATTCATCATTCGTCATAGAAACGGGGATAGGGTTAGGATTTCAAACCCCAATGGGTACAAGATGCGATACATGTGTCCGGGGGTCAGAGACAAAAACATGCAAAAACGGGCCCCACTTCCCTCCATTGTCATCCCCAAGGATATAATTCAGATTTCGGAGTTTCGTTGCTTGGTGTTATGATAAAAATCCCAAGAGTAGAGAGTAGTGTGACAAGTGCGAGGGAGGATATGACATTTGGGGCCAACATTGGACAATTGCCTTTTTATTCTTGAGGATAATCCAACATTCAATTGGCAGGTAAGAAGTTACCTCACACTGATACCACAAAACACTAAAAATAAATTACAACTTCATCATCGAGCTGGATTAAAGGCTTAAGAATTTTCAATAAGTGAATGCATAGAGAGGAAAGTGACAGACAGATGGAAAACAAATCGGGTGTTCTCCAATGTGAATGTGAATTGTTTTTCTTATTATAACCATCTGATTTGAAAACAAATTGAATTTCTGTGTTTTTAGTTTATAGAACATATTTACATCTGGGAATTATCTTTACTCCAATATAATAATATTTGTTTCTGTTTTAGAAGTCATTATTTTGATGAATTTGATTTTTAAAAACATGTATCAATTTTTTCGAACAAAACAAATTTGTTTTTGTGTTTTTGATTATCAAGACAAATTAAAATAACATGTTGCAAGTTTTTTGCTAGGGTGATTATGAAAACAAAAACATTACCACACAACCAAGAACAGTAGGGACTGACTATGAAACAGTGTCATCATTTTTCCATGCTCTCTCTCTCTCTCTCTCAGTGAGATCAAAAGAACGAATTCTTGCTGCGCCTATTAATTCTGAATCCCCTGCGAGCTGCAAAAGGACTCAAACAACAGTATGCATTCTTCACTCTTCTCGTCCCTTCCTCCTTTGAGTCCCTTTCCATTCTTCTAGTGCCGTGCCCATCTAAAACTCTGTGAGTGCCACTATTTGTTTTGACGTGGGTAAGGTAGATAGTAAGTAAAGGAAATTTCACACTGAGGGCTGGTGAGAACCCATTGGATTGGGATTAACGTAACTTCATCTGTTGCCGAATACATTGCATGTACTGTGGGCAAATCCAGCATTCTGGAATCTACCGAAAATATCATTCAGAAAGATTTCATCATTTGATCAAACAGTGCAGCTCTACCAGCAATAGCAAATACCATTTCCCTGGAATAAAAAGAACCCATCTTCTTTCTATTATAGCCGGAGATATGGGTTTGATTTGTATGGTTATTAATCAGTAGCCACCGGCCAGCTCTACTCTCTGTTTCTAGGCGAAAGATCAATCAAAAAACAAATTAGAAAGGAAGAAGGGAAAGAAGACAAGGACTGATTCTAGATTTAAATTTCTAATCCATTTTACAATCAGATATCAGAAAAGAACTTACATTTTCCCTCTCATTGAGGTAGGATACAAATAACAAATTGGTTTAGAAACAATGGTTTTACAAGGTGGAATCTACATCAATTTAATTAATTGGTGTAGAAGTGATGATGAACACCCTATCTTTGTTTCTTGTTGGAACAGATCGAGGATGAATGCATTCATTTACATAGTTAATTAAATTGAATCTCCGTAGCCTACATGATACACCTTATTATGAAATGAGATGACCTCCCCTGCGCCTGCGTTGCGTTAACATTGAGGTACTGCTATATAGGCGGCGGTTTCTCCACAACCACCACGATCTTCTCCTCTCGCGGTGGCTCACACGGACAAGGCAGTGCTATAAACTTTGGGATCTGATCGCCGGGCATTAGTACTGGAAAGCTCTCATTTTGCTTCTGTTCGGAACTCTGTCGAATATATGAAACCCCAACATGGAAAAGTGGCAAAAGGAGAAAAATATCACATTAACAGTTGAAAAATCCAAAACCCAACAGGTAAATGCAAAATATCTGCCTATCTAGAGAGAGAGAAAGAGTGAGTAAAGTACTCTGGCATACCATGAAAGGAGGTCCAGATTTGGAAGGTGATTGAGCGGTGTCTGTATCGGGATCGGTGGTGTCTTCCGAGAAAGCTCCACGGAGGGATCGAAGCTTGTCCCAGTGGTAGCAACAGGAGAAGACGCCACTCAGGCAGAATATGACGATCAAGAGGAGGGCTGTACCGAGAGGGAAGCCCAGGGACGGCCGGGATGCATCCACATGATGGGGTGGCGTCAAAGCTTGATTCTCCATTTCCCCGCCTCGTTCCTTCTCTCATATGGGTAACCACTGACCAGCAACCAGCAGCAAAACAGAAGAAGAAGAAGAAGAAGAAGAAGAAGAAGAAGAGTGGTCTTCTTCGATGGAGGAGTGAATGAAAGTATGGAGGAGGGGATGGTGGAGGTGAGAATTTATGGAGGATTGTTCGGTGCAAAGTCGTGTAAAGTGGGTTCAGTCCTGTCAAGGACATTGTACGGAGTGGGACAGCGTAGCGGGTCCTACCAGCACGGTGCCACTACGAACATGATTAAATGAATGTTTTGTGTTTGATACTTTGATTGAAAGAAAAAAACAGACTGTGTAGAGTGGAAAGGGTAAAATTGTTGGTGTGGTGTAGTAGAAAGTGGGAGCTGTGACAGACAGATGCCCTTCAAGCGGAGCCACCAAAATGCGGTGTCCGCACCGCCCGCCCTTCACTGTCACGGCTCCGCCCAGTCCTTTTCTCCCAGATCACTCCCTTCCCATTCCCTAGAGAATTGATAGAAACCATTTCGTGTGGAATTTGAATTTGAAAAATACTTTGCATAAAGCTGATGAAACTGGTCAGTATCCCAACTTGTTTTCAATCGTTATTTACTCTAGTCTTTCTTCTTCCCCATTCCTCACTCTAACTTTGATCTTAGTTCTTATTATGAATATGGATAGATCGCTTACAAGTAAACATTAAGATGTGACTCATGGCCACTGGCCGCTGGGTCGGATATCCTCCCTCGTTCCAACTGAACTGAACCTAAATTTGATCTGGGTCAAGCTTTGAACTTCACAGCCCTGTTACAGAGCAAACCAATTCTACCTTCAGATGGAATCAGGTTGGGACTGGTTTAGATCGAGTCAAAAGTTGCTACCGAAGCCACATGGTAATGTTGGGGGAGTGTAGCTCTACACACAGACAGAGTATGATCCATCAACCACCTTGCTTATTAATTAGGTTGAAGCGTATCGACCTGAACCTCGAGAAGTCAGGTGGGTTCGCGCGGCTGGCAGGCAAGAGTGGGTCAAGGGGTTGCTACCGTCATGGAGATGGAGATAATTCCACCAAAATTTCGCTAGCTCTGGTACACTCTGTACTCAGTACCGTCCTCTCTTTTAGAATTTGCCACTAGTGCTAAGCAATTTTGACGGCCCTAATGACGCCAAGTTGCTCCGAAGAGAGCTGAAAATTGTTTCCTGTTTGTAATTGGTTTGATGTCCATTCATTTCTGTCTTTCATTTTCGGTTGGCCTCAAATCTTATCACCAAGACCTAACCAACCACACATGTACAGTAGTGAGTACAGATGGTTTTCATTTCTTCCCATGAATGCTGTATTGGAGTAATGGCCATAGCCATAGCCACAGCCATCCATTCCCCAATATCTGCGCTATTTCCACGTAGTTTCCTGGATGTCCTTGTTCTTTTATATCCCCATGAACCTCAGACGCCCAAACCCCAAAACTGGACCAGGGAAGGAAAATCCTTGATGATCGAGGTGCCTTTTTTACTTTTTCTTTTTCCTGTTGAATTCACAAAACCAAGCTTTCCACGTAGTTTCCTCCATCATCTGGGGTCCCTTCCCCTTTAACAGCGGCTAGTGCTTAGTGCTTTGCGGCAATTTTATATTTACAATATTTTTTTTTGTTAATCTAGACTCTTGAGTATCTCTATCCAAGGCTTTCTTTTAGTCAACAGATGCCTCATCTTTTTACTGTTACCAACAATATCTGACTCATCTAGCGCCATCGAGTCACTTCAAATGAATCTCTTCAGCTCGGCAATGTCTTCAGCATGAAACCATGCATTAATATAACTTCACTCACTACCAGAACTCATTCCAGAAGAGGATGACGAATTTGCACTCAATTCCTTGGCATCATCTTCAGAGATACGCAGAAAATTCAAAATAAAAACATTAAAATGTGCAATTTATAGAGAAAGAAAGAAAAAAATAAAAAAAACTGTACCCAACCCATTTCTGAAACACTTAAGTTGCAGTCTGACTGTTTTTAAACGAGCAGCTACCTTTGGGTCCATCCCAGACTCCAGATAATCAACAAGCATATTCTCACCTATTAGCCTCCATTGAAGATCTTTCATGATATTGATTTCAGTGCAAAGGAACTTTAGTTGAACCATATGTCGATATTTTCTCTTAGGGGGGCGGGTGGGTGTTATTCCAACTCTTAGGTCTTAGCTTATATGGGGCCTAAGAATAGATACGACCTAGTTTGGACTACTCATCATGACCAGCAAGAACTCTTGCTAAAGCTTGGCCTGTTGGCCATGGCTGCTGAATAGCTGGCAGAGCATTGAACTTGAACTTGTTTTCTTTCGATAAAAAAAAAAAAAAACCATGTCCAAGCCCAAGACGGGCTAGCCCAGTGATTGCCAATAATCCAATCAGCAGCTCATCAACTTGCGGCTGCATTAATTCATGATTCAACCCTACCACTATCTCATATTTCTAATTTCTTTCTCTTACATTCTTTGAACATGCTACCACAAATAATATCTAAACTGTTCATGAGAGAGAGACAGCTCTCTTTCATGTACCATACATATGGGTCCTATTATCCTAGCTGTAGACTATACCAGTCCGGCCCGGTCCATGAGTCCATTGAAAGCCCTACCTATGGGTAAGAATCGCAATAGGGCAGGGATCATATTTTCCATCTCTAACTCCGACTCTCAAAATTAATCTTTATCCCTGATTCCATTGGATATAAAAGTTATCATCCATTTTTGATCCCTAATGGAGACGGATTTTCCTTTAGGACTTAGATCCCCAAAATTTTTTAGTTTACAGTTTTTTTTAAATAAATTTACGGTATCCCTACTAATCCCTGGCCCCGTTCTCGCCCTGCCAAAATAATCCCCATCCCAAATACGATGGGGTTAGAGAAGTCATGTCCCCATCGGGGATGAAAAAAATTGCCATCCCTACCCTACAGGGTTAGAATCAACCGGCTGGCCAAGGTTCGGAGAAACCCAAACCAATGCAACAGGTCTATACTAGCAGTCAGGAAGTGCAACTTGAAGTCTTAAACAGGCCGAACCCAAAACCTGTTTAGGGCTGGAAATTGGAAAATGGGGCCTGGGCCTCAGATTGGGATAAGATTGAGACATCAGACGTTAGGTAGTTAGAAATTAGAAGCATTCCAAAAGCAGCCCAGGCCCTCGTCGCAACTTTAGGAGGACCCCATCAAAGGGTGGGTCACTTGTTGTTTCGCCTGGATTTTTTTCGTGACATCTCATTGTCCTCCGTTGGTGCAATTTGGCATTTTCAATGCAGGCTGAAATTTGCCCGGGCCCAATAATTCGACTTCCTTGTTCTGAGCTCACAACTCTTCTAATTAAAATCATATACATATATATGCATTATATATAAATATATTATTTATAATAATTTATTTTATAATGTTTAATATATTATCTATTATTTATTATTTATAATATAATATTATATATACTTATTTATTTATTTATATATTTATTTATAAAATATATTATAAATATAAAAAACTGAAAAATCAAAGAACCAAAACTGATGAACAGATTAACCGGTTGATTTGGTTCAGTATAGTTTTTAGTTCGGTGAACACCCCTAAAGGTGTTCTATTTGCATTTATGTATGAAGTTAAATTAACCATCTGTCATGGGGGACCTGATTGGACACCAATGACACCTTTGAAGAAAAGGATTTCCTATAAATACTTATATATATATATATATCCCCTGATGTTACTGTACGAATACTGAATTAAGCTGCATTTGGCATTACTTATTTTAAGGATTTATCAGAATGTTTAACTGTAAAAAGTAAATATGTCCTTAAACTTCTATTATCAGAATCAGACAACCTTAAAGTTGATAGAATCAATGAAAGACCTTTCTATTATTTTTTTTTTCGAAAAAAACGTCGAATGGAGGATATCTGTACCCAAGTATAAAACACTGTAACTAGAAATGATCCCAAGTGGAAAATTTGATTAGCTGACATACTCCCCAATCAGGTCCAAGCCCACAACAAGAACTGACAACCCTTCAAACAGCAAGAAATAGAAATGCACACCATGAGTTGATAATAGGCTTCTTGTAGAGAGGGACCATGTTCATTTCCTTTCATTTCATTTGTTTAACAATGTCAAACCACATTCGGAAGCCCTTCTGTTTTTTGTCTCAGAGTTTGTAATTCTCTCTAGCTCGGCCACTACTATTAAATCATATTCTGATGATCTCCCAATTTTCTTAATCACAACCCATTCATAATAAGCACTTGCCACATGTAAATAGAAACATAACAGAGCACCCCGGACAAATACACCCTTCAGCTTTGGGTATAAAGTATAAACATTGATCAAAGTGCCCTTACTACATTGTCCTTTTATTTTGGGTTCATGGGCCTACACAACGGAGTAGCCCATCCACCATACCCTGCCCAACACCCGTGGAAAAAGGATTTGATTCCAAGTCTTACTACAACCAGCCAAAGGAAATCGGATTTAGTCCTCACTATGTTCTCATAACACTTGCAGCTGTGCATTAAAAACATCTATATATTTGTAGGTTTTCATTTAATAAGGACGAAATCTGGATCTTAGCAAAAGACCCTTCCAAATAGAACGAACCACCATGAGTTGGTCTACATTGTCTTTTGGGTGTGTTCACCAATGTGTTGATTTTTTAAACCCCTACATCTACATGTCAAATTTCATTGATAAATATGGCCGCGTTTGGCAAGTCTTTTCGTGCAGGCTTTGAGCTATTTAGAAATTCGGAAGCCTAAATTCTGGGCTTTTCTCGTTTAGCAATAGAAAGATCTATTGGGAAAAAGCTCTAGCCCATAAAAGATGTCAACAATTCGACTTTGGGCTTTTTCATGAAGCTTTTACAAATTTTTTATGCCCCTTATCTTCTTTGAACGTATGCCACGATGCACGTGCTTGGGAGAAAATGGGTTATCTTTTCACAAAAAACTATTTGAATGTGTAAGTGAGACCTACCAATGGTATGTGGGGCCCACCTTGAAAAATGTATGTGCGCCCCACATACATGTCCACAGATGGACCCAACATGCATGTCCACCAATGGTATATGGGGCCCACCTTGAAAAATATGTGGGCCCCACATACATGTCCATACATGGACACCACATGCATGTTCACAAATGGTATGTGGGGCCCACCTTGTAAAATGTATGTGAACCCCACATACATGTCCACACATGGACCCTACATGCATA